TATTTATATTTATGGGTGCATGTTATTCTTTTTTTTATCTTTGGTTGTTGTAGGATGACAAATTCAACACATTTTGCAATTTACCTGAGTAAAAAACTTCTTAGTTAGATTCTTTGTATTCTTGATAAAGCACTTTTTTTTGGAAAATTACTTATTTTTAACTTAGTTTACTAAATTGGGATTGACACTAGCAAAAACATTATGGGGTTATGACATGGAGAAAAATGCAGCAAGGGCATGGGCATATGACCGCGCGTCGCAACGCGGCAAAATTAATATTTATATTTTCCTCGACTAACCCCTACTAACTAGTAGTAGCGGCGAGCAAGGGTCGATCCCACGAGGAGTGTGAATCAAATTGTGAATTTTCTCGTATTAATTGAAATTATAAAAAGCGATAAATGGGGGGATTGGTTTAAAAACTAAACTTATTAAAAATCCTAATAAACAAAGGAAATAAAAATAAAATAGAATAAATAAAGAGAAGTTCCTAGTTCACGGTTCCGTCTACACCCTCGACTGACTCGTCTAATCAATTCTGGTATCAAATCTCGCTATCTTATGAAATTACTAGCCCTAGGCAACGACACGGTCAGTTACCCGAATTTTTCCTTATTTTTAATTTAACCGCGAGACGCTCTACGATTAAACCTGACTTCTTGTACAGTCCTTTTCAAGATTTAATACAATTAGCCGCTTTACGAATTAGAAAAATAGGCTAGACTAAGTAGTGAACTCAACCGCGTTCCTTCACTTAATTAGGCCGTGTTATCCCCGGTAGTTACCATCTTCCGGTTACCTCTTATGAATTAAACACAACAACAATTACGGATTGCAGGCCTAATTCAGATGTAGATATGAAAAGCCTAATCTAGGTGATCAATCTAAATAAGACTAACACATCATGGTGAATTATTCAAAATAACACAAACAATTCCAAAAAGACAACTCAATAATCAACCATGAAAATTAATCAAACATCGTCAAGTCGTAAGGTTCAACATCCCCGGAACTAGAAATAAAAATCTAGCCTAACATAATAAATAAAAAAGAAAAAATAAATAAAGGAGAGAGATTAATTATCTCCCTCGTGTGCGGGTGCGGTCTCCCTCCGCAATTGCCGAGTTCTCCCGTTCGTCCTCTGTCTTGCGTACAAATAAATTCCCTGCTCTCTTGCGGCTCTCCCTTTCTGTGCGTGAAATCTGGCTCTCCCCAAATAATTCTCTGTTGCTCCGTATGTGATAAGGGCCGCGTGAATAATTCCTCTCCAAGCAATTAATTAAACCCTCCAGCCCAAAACCAAATCAAAGTCATGCTGTGCGTGAATGTTTTCTTCAAAGCCCATTTCTTTTTCTTTTTCTTTGTATTTTTCTTTTAAGAAAGATATGACCAGCCCATTAAATGTAATGGGTCAAATTCATGTATTCTTGGGCTATGGTCCATTTTGCACAGCGCTACTGGCACCCGAATAATTGATCCCATGAAATTCCGTATAATGCTTCGCGTCCACAAAATTCTCCAAAATCCTGAAATTAAATCATAAAAGTATCATAGCACTTGAATCCATCTAATAAATAAATAAGTCGAAAAAACATATAAGTGCGATAAAATCAACCATATAAAAATACGCTAATAAATATATAATATACACACTTTTTCCGACCAATCAGCATACGAGTGGAGAAATTTATCAACAAGAACTTGATCAAGATATGAAGATATATTGCTCATCTCATAAGGAACAATTTTTTCTTTTTTCTTTTTCTCCATTTATTTTATGTATTTCAATTTTGAAATTTTCTGCTAAATTGTTTTCTCTATGGGAGATTCAATATACCGAGGAGTCACAAGGTCTCAAAATATACTGCATGTCTCTTTCTCTCATGTTTCTTTTATAATATAATAATAAAAACAATTTTGCCTTCATTTAAATGCAGTTTCATTTGGTAGACTTTGAGTTAATTTTCTATAATCACCAACATGGCTGTTGGGCAAGATTGGATCAACCATGTGGCCGGAAACAAGTATCGTTACCATGGCACGTTTAGTGAGTTGTCTTAATTTCTGTATAACGAACTCTGTTTATTTATTGTGTAACTTTTATTTTTGTTCTTCTGAGAAGCATTGTTGTAAATATTCATACTGTATCAAAAAGTTTTATGTTTAGAGTTTCGATAAAGAAATTTAAATTAGAATGTTATGTTGTTATATTAAAAGTATTTTTATTTCCATAAATTATATTTGTTTTGTTGAGAAAACAAGATGGATGTGTACTTTTATTTTTATCTTTGGCATTTAAAATTATTGTATGATTCTTTTATGCATTTGCGTTTATTCTCCAGTACTCATAGTTACTAGCAATCTAGCATTAGTTGGATAAACTGCAGATTTACTTAGTCATATTTTCCTAACGAATGGATTATATTTCTCTTCTGATATTTCATTTAATTTAGCTTCAACATCACATTTGTGACCAAATCAAGTAAAAGTACCATAAATTTAAAGCATTAAATTTTAATTGAAT